TATAATTTGAAGCGATGGTGTGTGAGTATATTTCTATTCATCTTGATTTTGGCAAAGGGAACTGTCTGTCACTGTCTTTGCGTTGTCATCTTTGTGTGGAATAGAAAGCAGATCATCTTTTATAATGTAAAGGGAAGTGACCCTGGACTATTTCTGCAGGGTTTGTGTTTCATATTCTCCCACTCGACACAAGTTAGAATAACTATTGAAGCCATTGGATTTTTGATTTTTTTCTCCAATTTTAAAGTGATTGGGGGTGCAGATGAGGAAATAGGGTCCAAGCAGAGAGGGAGAATAGGCCTGACTGAGAAAAGGTTTAATTAGGGGTCATTCCAAAGAATGATTTTCATATCATTCTTTGGAATGACCCGTTATATTATTATGATATTGTATAGTCTGATGAAATGATGACAACAAAATGCTGTTCCCTCAAGGACCTGTCTTTTTTCCACCAGTGGCTGATAATCACAGAGAGGCCAGCTGGGGGGATCTGAGAGGGAAGGAAAGGTTCCGTGGCTGCCAGCCAGCTGGCAGCGTGCTAACCTTGGAGGGGTTGTTTTGGGCGTAGGGGGCAGCAGTTCCTGGATATCTGTTCTAGTCCACAGCACTGCTCTGCTGCACCTGATATTTTTTACACTAGCAATGATTATGGCAGTAATTTAGTTCAGCCCACAACCCATAAACAGCACTGTGGTTAGTAATGTTTTTTTTTAAATTAGTCTTTAAGAGACTATCACATTATTACAGTTAGGGCTTTACTTGTGATATTCTAGGGCTAGATTTGAATATTTGACTAGTTATTGAGGTATTTGGTTTTCTCGAGGTAATGTGTGATTCACATCAGCATCAAAATGTTGCTGTCTCGGTTGCAAATGTGACTTGAAAGTATGTCTATACTTGCCCGCTGAAAGGGATCAGCGTGAGGAGACATTAGGGAGACAGAGCGGTGGCGTTGCACGCACTTGTCAGGACGTCCCTCAGGGGTGACCTGAGGACTACTGCCGGTGCACTGCCGTTAAATTCTTGTATAGTAAAACATTCATATTACCGGAGGGATGATCATCCAGGATAAATTTCCATAATGTGTAAATGCTTTTCTTTTTTCCGGACAGCATAGAAGACAGCCAATACTAGATGACATGAAAGGATATTTCAAACATTATGGTCGAAGTAAAATAGACCAGAGAACAAGATATGCTTTAGGGTGTGGCGACCTTGTTACCAATACCAGAGCTGTATACAGTGTCTCAATGTCACAATATGATAACTGATGTTTAAGTGTAAATAATGAATAATAAGTAACTGAAAAGCAGCTTCATATATGAACTAACATATTCATAAATCTGAGATCTGTGATGTTGAAATACACCAAACTCCTACATTTTATCATTGCTTGCAACAACAGCGATTATATGTGTTTGACCTCAAAGACCTAGTACTTGGTTCATGGCTTCTTAGCTTTGTGTGGTGGTTAAAAGCCCGGAGCGTTTCTCATTTCATTTCTCAGGTCATTTCACATGTGTTTCTTTTTGGCTGCTGCAGCACCCCCTCACAGGATATTTAGACTGCTATTGGTGCTCTGGAATCTGTTTTCAGTCGGTCAGGTGGTCGGGAACACCGGGGTTTGACCTCCGCGCGTCTGAGGAGTAAAAAACCTGCACCTTTGTCACTGGCATCCCTTCTTAGAAATATAAATTACGTTTGAATCCCTTCTCAGAACCAAACCATGACCTCAACCGTATTCTTACCAGCAACTACTTATTGGACCACGCTGCTGCTGCTCTTCTTGTATGCACACTAAGATCAAAGAATGACTTAAATTGGCACCAGCTTCCTGTCATTAACTGTGACGCAAGACAGTGGGAACAGAAACAACTTCTTTAACCATCTCACGTTGCATCATTTTTTTTTCCTTTGTCAGCCTGATATGATGCGTACATTGGTTTTATTCTCTATTTGTTTGTCATAGTGTTGATTAAAGTAATTATACAGTATAGGTTCATGCACATTTTTAAAATCTCCGTTGTGGTGTAGACAGACTGCCTGTCGATAACATAAGTAATGAATGCTAAACCAAGATGCAGAATTGGATTTAACAGCATGCACCTTAGGAAATGGTCTTCTTCCACGGAGAGAAATCAATATTCTCCTCTGCATTAGGTTCTGTTCAGAGGATTTGTAGAGAGTTGATCAAATAAGATTAAATTTACAATTCATGAAGGCAAGGTTCACCAAAGGAATTAAATGTTAATTAGGTTTGAGAAATAATTTCCATATTGGAGTCAGTTTTTATTAAAATGGGATCAAGTGTACGCAAGTGTAAATATATACTTGTAGTTTATAAACAATTGTCCCCGTTTTCCACTCACCGGGAAAGCTTTTGGAGCAAAGGCTTTTGTACGGCCAAAGCGGTGGCATAGCCAGTTCAGAGAACATCTCTTAGTGACCAGCACTAGCTTGTCTCTAGATTGTTAGTGGTTGACCCGGAGGCTAGGGAATTTGTCAGCTACTCCTTTCAGGACACACCGTCTTACTTTAGTTTGTAGATGCAGAGAAAAGTTTTGAATGTTAATAAGTTCACTCACAGATTTCATTGCAAGCAGCCACCCAGGGGTGTTAGGGTTGCAGTATCGAGCCAATAAGGGCTAGTTGTTTCGGGAAGGTATATAATCAGTTCATCAGAGAATCGGGATATTCAATATCTGACATAGAATTGCCTCTCTCTCAACACACGCATGCAATCTCCGAGTGAAGAAACGTTTAGTCCTCCTCATTTCTGTGTCTCCTCTCCTCTCATCAGCTCCTTAGTTAGATTTATATCGATACCTTGATGGAAAACATCTGCTCTGGTTTATCTGAACACGTTGTAAAAGGTTTGCTCTATCACCTGAGGCATCATGTGTGCTGGATTTGCAGTGACACCGCAATTTATAGTCTCCCGTAGATTTCCTCACAGATGTCCTTAGCTCAAGCAACTGCAACCCCGCCGATGCTCCCTGAACGCCTTAACGGCATTCCAGTTGCTGCAGTTAAGAAGAGATACTGGAGAGCACAATGAGGACATTATGTCCTGTCACGCTTGTAATTCCGTTTGACCGATAGAGGGAAATTCTCTGTTATGTGACACACATGCACTGCTACCCATGCCTGGATTTAATCCCACGTCTGGAGCTTTTTTTCTGTGTCTGGTTTATGGGAAACGGGTTGAACATGTGCCCTTTATGCTCCAGATCACAACAACTCCATGAATTGACTGGAATTAAACAGCCAATCTCGATTGTGTTTTTTCATCCTTGACAAGACCTCTTGGACCTCTTTTTGTTGTACTCCATCAGGGGCTAATTGTGATCCTTGTAAACCGGGAATGTGAGCTCTCCCCCTTCTTGCTCTAGGGCACATGTACATATTCTTTATGGAGTTCCGGAAAGGCATTGTTGTCTCCTTTTGAAAGGTTTTCCAAGTCTATGAACGCTATGTTCCCAAGCCCTCTGCAAAGTGTAACTCTCAGTCCACTAAATGGCTGTAGTAGTTTTTATGGAAAGAATGGCCTGGATGTGGTCAGTTACTTGTGATTTGTCTGGATGGATAAAGGCATCAGTGGGCCGGCGAACAAGGTAAGAGAGGGATGCAAAAGGAGCAGCTATGAATTAGGGACCATGACTGAGCTGAGAGTTGTTCAGTTTGTTCATTACATTTAGCTGACGCTTTTATCCAAAGCAACTTACATTACATTTTTAACCCATGGCTTTTTACATTTTGCCCAGGGAGCAATTAGAGGTTAGGTGTCTTGCTCAGGGACAATTTCAACATGGGGCAGTCAGGACTCGAACCACCAAACTTGTGCTTCCCAGCACACCCTCTCTACCCCCTGCGCCACAACGACTCATGAATGTTGTCGTCTTTTATCTGTTTCAGTTATCATACATTAAATTATACTTTGCAGCTTTCAATGTAGCAATTGTACTGTGTTAAACACAATAACAAATACCACCAAAATAAAACATCTTGTAGTATTTAAAGAAGTAATACTTACTTTTTGTAAGATTTTTGTAAAATAAACTGTAACTGTGTTTACATTTTTATCTCAATGGCAACACTGAGGATAAACGTGCCAAAATAACTGGCCTATTGTACTGTTTGTAAGCATGTTGGTTTTGAAATCATAGATGGAAAAGCAGCCATGTCAGTTTTCTGCTCAGGACTCATATCGGGCGTCTTCAAAATGAACATTGTCTTCACCGGAGCAAAACGTAGTTCGGTTTAGGAAAAGAACAAGGTTCACGTCAACTAACAACATAACGAGAGACACATTACAGAGGGACATAACTGAGCCCAATAATTGTGATGGTTGTCACTGATATGTAGGTAGTATAGAGATTTCTTACTCAACCTTAATAGTCTTGCAATACTAATTGGAGATCTCCACCTACGGGTCTCTTGGGAAAATCAGGTGGGTCGGCAAGTGGGCGTCAATAGTGTGTGAAACCAGCAGCTTCGCCATTGTAGTTCTGATCAGCAAATCTCTCTAAAATGTACGCTCACTGCTTCCACCAAAATAACTTTTTATATCGAATACCGAATATGTGAGTGTGGAGTAGGGCTGCACAATTATGGCCAAAACAATTATTTTGATTAAAATTGAGATCATATTTATACTGTTGCATCAGGGTGTGTACTAGTTTTCTGGGTTAACGTCATTGGACATGGACAGATATCGGTAGTTTTGGCCCTAATGCATCTATGGTTTGTGGCGATTTGTTAGGTGGTTAAACAAGTTAGAGTTTGGTCTGCGCCGCATAGAAATACAACTAACACAATCTGTGCATATGCTTCTTGGTTAACATAACACTGCCTGAAATCCAGAAAACTTTCAGACAATGGATGATAATCCTTTTAGAGGGACCAGCTCCTCGCCTTCGGTTCCTGAAATTTGACTTCCCTTTACACAACAACGATGTAGTCTGCCCTGTGTTCTGATTTCTGTCTCTCTACTGTTCCAGAGTCCCCTCCAGACAGAACTTTCTATGGGCTTGCCGCTGCACGGTTCACACCTCCCATCTCGTTCTCCCTTTGGTGGTTGGCTGACTGTGAGTTAAGGAAGCGCTTGATTTGATGTGTAGCAGATAGGAGTTAGGAATTACATTTTAGAGAACAGAGATAAGGCAAAGGTCCAGGCTGAGTGAAAAGACACACTTGTACAGTTATTTTGCTTACAATGAATCAAGCTGAGCATGACCAGAATCCCCCAGGGACTGGCCTTAGTACCTAAGTATTACTGAAACTACCACCAGTAATTACATTACATTACATTACAGGTCATTTAGCTGACGTGGCAGGCGTCACGCTCAGGTACACTTTGACCTGGGACATGGGGAAGCCGGGACTCAAACCACCTACACTGCGGCTCCCGGTGCACCCTCTCTACCCCTGCGCCACGACAACCCCCAACGGCCTTTTAAAGCATTAAAATCCTAATGTATCTTTTCTTAGTTATGACTTTTGAAACATATCAATAAGAGAACGACAATGGATAATACCTTTTGTAAGATATTATTAAGGCTTACTACCCTTTTTAACACATTCCCTTTCTTTCATCATTCAAGTTCTCACAGATTTTTTAAGTCGTGCAAAACAAGTGTTAGTTTCATCATACTCATTGCGTTAGTCGTCATACTGTCCTCGAGATAAACAGGGTTTACCAGGCTGCATTAGAAGAGAATAGATGCCTTTGCTCGACTCAATTAGTTTTTGCTGCTCTTTTGTCATAAAGACGAAAGGCAATATGACGTTCGCTGGCTACAGTCATCTGTGTAGATAGGGAATTTGGTTACATCGTGTGTTGGCTGAGAGTCTCAATTGTGCGTTAGCAACGTCTTTTGTAGAGAAAAGGCAATCTGAAGGAGTGAAAACTGCCTGAGGCCGTCACAGCTGCCCATCCATTCCCATCAAACACAAAAATCCAGCACACACTTTGGTCTTGATTTATCTTACTTGACATATCAATAGCATTAGATGCTGTTATGTAATAGTTCATTTAATGCTGTTTGGTTTAGCAGTGTGTTTCTTGTAACCATGGCAACAATAGTAGTTTTTACATGGACATATTCAAATATTGAACTTCCCTGCTTTGTACATTATGCAAAATCCCACTGCCTCAGTGAGTGATGACAAATCAGTCAGTTTGCATGTTTAGTCCATTAACTGCAAATCACATGCACGTCAAAGCACGTGGAGTGTATAACCTATACTTAAACCAATAGTGTTATTGGTTAACTCGTGTTTTGTGTTTTTACTGTGGTGTTGAAATTGCCATGCACACAATTTAAACTTCTTTGATGCACACACTCCCTTATGTCTGCTTCCAATGTTGTATTTTTTACTTTCTGTGTGATATAAGTGTATAGCGCCAGAATCACCAGCAATAACACAGTCACGATGTTCACCCTTAATTATAAAATGAATTAATGGCAGTCGTTGCCTTCCTGAAAATCAATAAATTATATTTTAAAAGTGAATTATTGTACAGTATCTTTTTGTTTTGTTTTTAAAAATTGGGTAAAAACATTTAAACTATCGAAGAGCAGCCTCTAAAATTTTACTATACAGTACGTACACATAAAAAGATCCCAAGACATGTCTTACAATATAATTCTCATCTTAAGAATGTGTGTGATTGTTCGACTAGTCGATTAAATGTTGCTACCCTCACCAGGCGGTATGGCAGTGAAGGCAGACGGTCGTATTTCAATTTTTTTTACAGAATCTTCTGGTGTCTGGTGGCCGGGTTTACCGTGGAGCCCGGCCGGGCACAGCCCGAAGGAGTGACGCGGCAGCCCAAGACTCTACTCCCCATGGGCTCATCACCTGTGGAGGAAACCGATGGTGTCGGGTGCGCTGCTACAAGGGGGGCAGTTACAGTGGGGGGTCTAGACGGAACAGATCTGGGCGGCAGATGCTGGCTCTGGGGACGTGGAACGTAACCTCTCTGGGGGTGAAGCAGCTGGAGCTTGTGCGGGAGGTGGAGCATTATCAGTTGGATCTGGTGGGGCTTACCTCTACGCACAGCCTCGGCTCTGGAACCACACTCCTGGATAGGGGATGGACTCTATTCTACTCCGGAGTGGCCCATGGTGTGAGGCGCCAGGCGGGTGTGGGGATACTCATAAGTCCCCGGCTGAGTGCTGCTACATTGGAGTTTACCCCGGTGGACAAAAGGGTCGCCTCCCTACGCCTTCGGATGGTGGGGGGGGAAACTCTGACTGTTGTCTGTGCATATGCACCAAACAGCAGCTCAGAGTATTCAGCCTTTTTGGAGACCCTGAATGGAGTCCTGCATGGGGCTCCAGTAGGGGACTCCATAGTCAACTGGGAGACTTCAATGCGCACATGGGCGACGATGGAGATAACTGGAGAGGCGTGATTGGGAGGAATGGCCTCCCTGATCTGAACCCGAGCAGGTGTTTGTTACTGGACTTCTGTGCCAGTCACGAATTGTCCATAACAAACACCATGTTCGAACATGTATGTTCATAAGTGTACGTGGTACCAGAGCACCCTTGGCCAAAGAGCAGAGCTGTCAACTGATCACCATCTGGTTTTGAGCTGGGTCAGAGGATGGGGGAAGACTCGGGACAGACCCGGTAAACCCAAGCGTCTAGTGAGGGTGAACTGGGAACGTCTGGAGGAGGCCCCGGTCCAAAAGATTTTCAACTCACACCTCTGGCGGAGCTACTCTCACATTCCTGTGGAGGTAGGGGACATTAAACCAGAGTGGTGTATGTTCAAAACCTCCATTGCTGAAGCCGCGGCAGTGAGTTGTGGCCTCAAGGTCTGAGGTGCATCAAGGGGCGGTAACCCTCGAACCCCATGGTGGACACCGGTGGTCAGGGAAGCCGGTGGCCTTCCGGGTTATGATATCCGGTGGGACTCCGGAGGAAGTTGCAGGGTACCGACAGGCTCGAAGGGCAGCAGCCTCTGCCGTGATGGAGGCAAAGTAGCGAGTATGGGAGGAGTTCGGGGTAACTATGAAGAAGGACTTTCGGTCGGCACCAAAGTGCTTCTGGAAGACCATCCGGCACCTTAGGAGGGGGAAACAGGGGAACCATCCAAGCTGTGTACAGTAAGGATGGGACCCTGTTGACCGCGACTGAGGAGGTTATCGGGGGGTGAAAGGAACACTGTGAGGAACTCCTGAATCCAACTACTACGCCATCTTGGTAGAGGCGGAGCTGGAGGCAGAGGAGGGATCATCGTCAATTGGCCTGGTGGAGGTCATTGAGGTAGTTAAACAACTCCGCAGTGGCAAAGCCCCAGAGATTGATGAGATCCGTCCAGACATGCTAAAAGCAATGGGTGTTGAGTGGTTGTCTTGGATGACACGCCTCTTCAACATTGCGTGGAAGTCTGGGACAGTGCCAAAAGAGTGGCAGACCGGGGTGGTGGTATCCCTCTTCAAAAACGGTGACCAGGGAGTGTGTGCCAATTACATGGGTATCACACTACTCAGCCTCCCGGCAAAGTCTACTCCAAGGTGCTGGAAAGGAGGGTTCGGCCGATAGTCGAACCAAGGATTGAAGAGGAACAATGCGGTTTTCGTCCTGGTCGTGAAACAACGGACCAGCTCTTTACTCTTTTCAGGATCAGAGAGGGGGCTTGGGAGTATGCTCATCCAATCTACATGTGTTTTGTGGACTTGGAGAAGGCGTATGACCGGGTCCCCCGAGAGAAACTGTGGGAGGTGCTGCGGGAGTACGGGGTGAGGGGGTCCTTGCGTGGGGCCATCCAATCCTTGTACGCCCAAAGCGAGAGCTGTGTTCGGGTGCTCGGCAGTAAGTCGAAGGCGTTTCCGGTGGGGGTTGGCCTTCGCCAGGGCTGCGCCTTGTCACCAATCTTGTTTGTGGTTTTCATGGACAGGATATCGAGGCGTAGTCGGTGGGAGGAGGGTCTACAGTTCGGGGGGCTGCGGATCTTATCCCTGCTTTTTGCAGACGATGTTGTCCTGATGGAATCGTCTGTCTGTGACCTCCAACTCTCACTGGAGTGTTTCGCAGTCGAGTGTAAAGCGGTCGGGATGAGGATTAGCACCTCTAAATCTGAGGCCATGGTTCTCAGCAGGAAACCGATGGATTGACTACTCCAGGTAGGAAATTTGTCCTTACCCCAAGTGAAGGAGTTCAAGTACCTCGGGGTCTTGTTTACGAGTGAGGGGAAGATGGAGTGTGAGTTTGGCCGGAGAATTCGAAGCAGCGGGGGCGGTATTGCACTCGCTTTACCGCACCGTTGTGACAAAAAGACTGGCCGAAATGGGTTTCCTCAGGAGAGTGGCTGGCGTCTCCCTTAGGCATAGGGTGTGAAGCTCAGCCATTCGTGAGGAGCTCGGAGTAGAGCCGCTGCTCCTTTGCGTCGAAAGGAGCCAGTTGAGGTGGTTTGGGCATCTGGTGAGGATGCCCCCGGGCTAGGGAGGTGTTCCAGGCACGGCCAGCTGGGAAGAGGCCCCGGGGAAGACCCAGGACTAGGTGGAGAGATTATATCTCTGCACTGGGCTGGGAACGCCTTTCGATCCCCCAGTCAGAGCTGGTAGATTTGGCCCGGGAAAGGGAAGTTTGGGGTCCCCTGCTGGAGCTGTTGCCCCCGCGACCCGACCCCGGATAAGCAGTTGAAAATGGATGGATGGATGGATACAGAATCTTCATAATCATACCTGCATCAGCAAAAATATCCAACCTTTTAGTCCCTAGGACAGGTCGGAGCAACACTATATCCTAAACCTCCTATAATCTATCTGAATGTTTGCTGCCTTTCAGTCCGTACCTGCCTGTTCAAAATGTGTAATGTATACTGTACGTCCCGTCTGAATTATCACTGATGACATCACAATTACATGATTGCCCTAAGCAAAGAGAAGCTTGTATTAACTGCGAGAAAAACTGAGAAAAAATTGAGAGCAAGTTCCTTCTCTTTTCATGCTAGACACAACACCACTCTATCTTGATGTTGTAAATGTCTCCTTTAATGCCAGTGAGTTTAGTCCCTTTAATTGCTCTCTGAGGGCCTCGCGCATAAACACAACCATTCGTATCAGGGGATTTTATACTAATGGAAACAGTAGAAACAGTTTATTCCATATTTGCTCCTAACTGGTGCTCACTATACTTTTAAAGCTTTTGAAGTCCAGAAAGTACCTCATTTAAAGTTAGTCAATTATTTCTTCTGGTAAGGTGCTGGCTGAGAATGACAAATGCTACACTGTGCCAATTCTACGGCTTTTCAGACCTAATTAGCATTTTCCTTTGACCGGGTGGTGTTGAAAAGGAAGGGATAGCAATCCATCTCTCCTTAGAGTTTGGTTGGTAGACGTCACTGTCTGCATCTCCAGACAAAGTGTGAATTGTGACCAATTGTGTTCCAGAAGATAGCTTCAATATTTCAGTAGGGCGCTTACTATGATTCAGATTAAAAGTTACCCCACTCTAAAACCTACAATTTGTACGCCCTAACATATAACTATGGGCTCACCATAGTCAGCAGAATTGATCCTTTGGGGACTACAAATTATTTACAGCGCAATATTTTGCAACATTTCAGTCTGGTCCAAAGTGGTAGGGTGAAAATAAGACATACACACTTACTTACACATTTTTAGTCATATATCAACTTATTTTAAGATCCCCGATCCCCGATCCCCGGCACCACCACCAGCACCTAGTACCCTCCCACCCCCTCAGCAACTAGTGCCTCAGCCCGCTCTTGCTCTTGCTCTTGAGAATCCCGGTGACCTAGATTCAGCCTGAGTTTACTGCCGGCTCCAGTATTGGGCTGTTTGCAGTCCGCTTCCAGCGCCAAATCCACTCTGTGCTTGCACATCAGTGCTCTGACCCACATCTCCATGGCAACAGCTTCACAATGCCCTGACGATGCAGTGGCTGCTAGTAATGGGGAGAGAAGTGAAGGGACCTGCAGAGGCGCGGTTGTGTGTGTGTGGGGGAGGGGGTGGACTGCACCTCTTCCATATTGGTTTTACTTTCCCTAAACCCCCTTCAGTCTCACTAGCCATGCACTGCCCTGCATGTTGATGAGTGGATTTGCTAATACACATATGAAGGAATAACCTCACAATGGTATCCGTTTTCCTCTTGGTTTGAGATAGACTTTTAGTTCCCAGTGACAGATTTGTCTGTTCTCCGTCGCCTTTCAGCCACTTCTGTTGCTCCTCCCATCCTGTGCCATATGTTCCTATAATTTATTGCCACACCCCACGTGTTGAGTTGCTCTGTCAGTAGTCTTTTCCCTTTCCCCGTCGCAATTATTCTATATTACGTCAAATCACACTCAGAAATACGATGTAATGTGTTAACTTTAATATTCTGCTGCATTAATAATTATTCTCAAATAGGAATTTGGAATTAAAAAGCGACAGTAACAGGTTTTTCTGCTCTTTATAGCAGTTTGCCGCTCACACAAAGGCAACCGGTCAGTTTGGGTTTCGGCTCGCATTACAGAGTTGGCTCATATCAGTGTCCGTGTCTCTTGCCAACAGAACCGCCTGGAATACGACTGGCCCCGCTCAATTTTATCACAATAACACACTGTCACTTCACATTTACGCTGGATGAAACCCACCCTGCCAACTGCCACCACAAATACACTGACTGCTCAGATAACACCGGTGACAATCAACGTTCTGTCTGTCCGTCTCGGGGTACCTGCTGCGGCAGTTTGTTACGGGGCTCATAGCCAAGCAGGCTCCCAGGACAGGCAGATCCCACCCTGTCCCAGTGTTTGACCTGTTATTCAGTAAGTTTTCTGTTTAGAAACTCCCTTCGGTTCTAATCTAATTTCTTGATTCAAATTAAATCCAGATTGTGTCTTTAAAAGACATGCAGTGGCTGCAGGCAAAATGGATTAAAATATTTTCCCACAAATAGCATTAATAAAGTCTTTGGCTCAGTCTACTTGCACCGGCTGTGAACACTGTTGCAGCTGTTTGCTTCACTCAATTTGTGAAACAAGATTCTTTGCGCTCTTGTAATTCTCAATTCTTTCATCCTTGTAACGGCTCACACCTGTTCTTTTCCCATGTACATTTGCTAAGGAAATCGTAATTGGTCAATATAACAAAAACCACAGCCACTCTTTCCCACACACAAGTATGCTTGGCCTTTAGGGTCACGGGTCTGATATGCTATACGAACTAACTTTCTATGCCCTAAACAAGTTTTTCCGGTTGGACAGCTTTATTCCTTGGCAACCAGAGAAATAAAGGTCTACAAAAGACTACAAAGACTCCCTCTAATATAATGCATTGAGTACACACAACGCTCCATTGAAAGCAACTAAATCCCTATATGCAGGTTGTGCCGACTTAGACATTTTAGGTAAGTTTTATCCTTGAAATATCTAATACTAAGTTAATTTGTATTTAGTAATTTTTATACAGCTCAGGAATTGTGGCTAATATTAAACGCGTCTAAATTAAATTTTTATCTATGGTCTTTCTGTAACAAGGCTTGTTTAATAAATCAGTTGTATCATTTTCATTTAAGCCACACAAGAAGTGTACACCAAGGATCTTCAACGTTTTTCAGGCCAAGGTCCCCCAAACTGATGGCGAGATGGAGCAGGGACCACCTATTCTACGGAGTTTGGTCCGCCATCTTTCAGAGGTGAGCATGAACGCGATCTGATTGGCTAGTGCCTGTGCTGTCGTATTTGCATGATTCCTGGGGGAAGCTGAATGTTTGTTTTGCAGACTGAAAGATAACGTCTTCTCCATCAATGTATCCGTTCGCCACAATTCTGATCTAATCTTTTTCATGTGGCAAGACATTAACAACAAACCCTAATCCATCCGGCTGGGTGATGGAGTTGCCTTTGCGTCCATCCGAGCGCTCATCCCTCTACGGGCATTATCCGATCATCCGCTTTTTCACTGATATGCCGTCCGTAAGCCAGAAATTAATTAGATAAGACAAAAGTATTCACAACAGCTACACTAGTTTTTCCAGGGAATCTATGAGTGTTTGTACATAGTTTAAATCCAATCACAGCAATTTACTTATTAGTTAGTTAGTGACATAATAGACATGATTGCCCAAAATCTTAACTAGTGGGGCATGGGGCTTGAGACATTTTTCCATAGTCCAACTATCTCCTACTTTGAAGCATCCTCCTCTTCACTGCCTTTTTCTTCTTCGATTCTTTCAGTTGCATCTGGAGGATATACTCCATGTAGTATTTATACCATTGCTGCACTTTCCAGGCCCTAGTTCCCAGAATGTCTAAGCCTTACAATAAATTAAGACTTGCCAATTGCAGTTTAGCTGTTGGCTACAAGCTGTGGCACGGTCACAGACTGATGTGTGAGTTGATGTGAGCACAGGCTGGGGGCCGAACACACCGCTTCCTCGCACAATGAGCCACCCAGGAGCCTCTTAAGTGTCTAATCCTTTCACACGTCCATATATTGCTCTGACCAATAAGCTAATCTGTCATTCATTCGATTGCAGTTTCTGTTGCTACTGCTAGTCGGTTTTGGTTCCCTTAGCGGCTTGTGAAATATGAGTAATGTCTTGATATTAGTATTAGATATTAGTCGTCGTGGCGCAGGGGGTAGAGCGGGTGTGCTGGGATCCGCAAGGTTGGTGGTTCGAGTCCCGGCTGCCCAATGTCTCAAGTCGAAGTGTCCCTAAGCAAGACACCTAACCCCTAATTGCTCCCTGGGCAAAATGTGAAAAAGCCATGGGTTTATAGTGTAATGTAATTTGCTTTGGATAAAAGCGTCTGCTAAATGACCTGTAATGTTACTCAGCTGTTTTTTAACAGAACTTCAGTGCCACAGTTGCTAGTGCCCACACATACAAATAATCTAATATGTGGCCTATAGACTTGTTAAACCTACTGAGCAACTCTATACCTTCTCTGTTTTGCTAAACTGTACCCCTCTAGAGGGAGAGTCATGTAGGACTTGAACCTGTTACTGTTTTAATTGAACGGTTTGCATCGACAGTGGATCCCTAAGGATGAGCTCATTGTTTGGTTTGAGCTTAGCCTGCGTGCGTCTTTTTCCAAATGGGTGATTTTGACCAAACCGGAGCCTGTCACATTGGATCACCGCCTGAGATCACAGAAGGCGGTATTAAAACATTGAACAGAGTTATTTTCAGCACCATCCATGAATTATTTCTGCAACTGTCAGCTTCTTCGTTTTAGTCATCTCCGACAAAATATTTGCTGTTGTCTGCTTGTAGCTTGCCCCTAAAAAGAGCAACCACTGTCGTCCAAAACTTCTCAGATGTCAGAGTGGGAATTGAATCGATAGGAGACCAGTTGTAATGGCTCCTATATTGTATAGTTTTACCCTGTACCATCACTGCTTTCAAGGGTACAAATGTAATGTTTAGAGACATTTGGCAGATGGCTGCCTTCTCTTCATGAAAGGATGTTAATAGGGATTCTTTGGCCCCTTTTGCTTTTTTTCTTTTTGAACTTTTTGTGTTTTGGTGCTTGCATTTCCCATTCCCCTATAAACACCTGCTGTGGGCTGTGAACAGGACTGTGCTGTCTTCAGTCTGCTTGTTTGGAATTAGCGACTAATAGATAAGATCAATATTGTGCAGCATAATGGAGGAGAAGATTTTCACTCAGCTTTTTATTCTTCATCTTTTAGACCCAGCCATGTGGTCTCATTTCCCTGAAGCACCCAATTCCAACTTGAATAAGTGATGCTCCTCCCATAGTTTGTTATGAAACTTGTGCTGTTAAATATTTAAAGTACATATACAATTTGCCCGAGTGCTTATATTCCTGTATTTCTTATACTTTCTCTCTCTCTCTCTTTCTGTATGTGTATATATATATATATATATATACAGTATATATACACACATGTACTATTTTACATTTAATTAATTCAAATTACATATTTTCTCTTTAGCTGCTAATTACTCCTCTATTTTCCCCAGATCATGTACTAACTGTTTCTGTCTGTTAGTGGAGTTTGTCGAATTTGTTTTTCCTAAAATAGTTTCCTTGTATGAATTTAAGCTGAAACAACTTATAACTTTTGTGTTGAAGTTCATCCAGTCAGTGTATTTGTGGTCCATCTAAGTTGTTTGATGCGATGGTTTGGCAGTATCGGCTAGTAGGAGGGCTTTTCAAACAAAACACATATTTATGCATTAGTACCTTTTGACTTGTATTTAAAGAAAATACCTTATAAAGTTGGTGTTTGGATCGTATATGAAACGGTATGGCCACAATAATACCTGATACATTTTGATGCACGTTTGTACTGTTGTATTTTTTATACTTTATAAAAAGCTCCAAGCTAAATTATTACAAATGTCTTTTATTTTCTAGCCAATTCATAAGAGAATTAATTAATGTGGAACCAGTCCACATTTAGAAGCATTTTTAGAGCGGCCCTGACGAGATCACTTGCTTAAGTATCAATTCCTGAACTAGTGAATGTTGACAACATCATTTGTCCTGATATTGACCATTCCATATCTCGATATAATATTATATCTAATGTTTTCTGGTTATTTCAGAAGTATATAGTTCATACATTGTATATAGTTTTCTGAGGGTTTTTTTGCCAAACCACATCCAAATGACATGGTTTGCAGTAAAGTAGTAGTAGTAAAACCCACTTAGATGTAAGCTCCTGTTTTAACTGTCATTTACAAGGTACATAAATTGGTACCCAATGGACGTAAACATTGACGTAATGCCTGTTTGGTTGCCAATTTTTCAACCTAATAATAAATATATACAATGAACATATATATATTGATATTTTGACAATAAATACAGTCATATTGCCCACCAATAATCCATGTTTTAGTTCTTAATTAAACTGAAACATATGACTTTTTTAACACCCGGAGCATGAGTATGAAAAGCCTATCATAATTTTCCCACATCAGTAGGCCGAGGGTATCGTTGAGTACGTAGGAAAGTTGACAAGCTACCGAGGGAGAGGAAAGACCAAATAAAATAATGAATTCCAAAAAGATTTTTGTAACAGAACAGACTTTATTAAGTCTTTTATACACCCCCTTCACCTCTTCAGTCATTTCCAGAAGTCAACAACCACTGCATTCATCATTTTCTAGGATGTGTTTAACAAACAAATCGCTGCACCATCATGGGTCATCGCCTAGTGGAAGGAATCTGTTATGCGCCTCAAGCTCATGCACCTCATGCCGCCCATGCCGCCCATGAAGCTCCTGTACTCTCCGGGCCTCATGTACATCATCCTCCCTCGGTACTGGGGCTGCTCATAGATCAGCCAGTGGCCCTCCATCACATTGCAGGACATGAAGTTGGACATACTGTGGCGTTCCATGACGTTATCGCAGTCGCCCATCAGCTCGTGCATCTGACCCTGGAGGTTGTCCTTCTCGTAGATCCTCATCCTGTAGGACCCCCTGTGCATGGGGATCATGCGGCAGGATCTGATGCAGTCGCTCATGCCCATCATGCTCATGTAGTCGGCGTACTCGCCCCTCCTCATGAAGTACTGGTTTCCCATGAAGTTGGTGCGGTCAAAGACGACGAAGCAGCCACGCTCCACCCTGCAGGAGTGGCAGCGGCTCAGGTAAGAGGACATGTCTGGGCAGTCGCTCATGCACTCGTAGGAGCGGCCCTGGAAGTTCCTCTCCTCATAAAAGGTGATCCTGCTCATGTTGCCAGAGGTCATTTTTGCCAGAGGTTGTAGGTGGAGGCGATGCTGTTGCTGCACTCAGAGCTGATCTGATGGTCTACCTGTCGGAAAACCTTCCATTTTATACTTGACAAGCTGAGGTCCCCTCTTTGAAAACCACCTGACCCAGCAACATGCCATAGAAGCCCATGGAGCACCGAGGCACTGTCCACATTTGCAGCGGTTTACCCAAAAGACCTGATGAACACCGTTGTACAAAAACATTTTTCTTTTTCAAAAGGTCAAAGCACAAAACAATACCACCTTTGTGACACGTGCAAAGGCTCTCTTCACCACAGTGCACAAAACACATCCTTAGCTCTGTAATTTTGCTTTGTGTGGGGGTTAGCAGCGAAAGAAGTATGCCACATCACCCGTTAATAGTCGTTGAATGTTCTTTACGCAAAAAGGTTCCCACATTCTAACAAACTCCCATTGTGTGATCATTTGTGTAATGTTTTGTAATGCTAGAACACTAATCTTTCTTTAAATCAAATGGGTATTTCATCATGTGTTTATGATCACATTGCGTGCTATGTGTTTTCATCACATTTGAATAATTGAAATTCACTTGAATCTGGAAGGAATAGGAAATATAGAGATGTCTAATCTTCTCAGATTAGGTATACATGATCCTATATCATGGTACTAGATGATAAAACATTCAGTTACACCATCACCTGGTGTTTAAGTCTGGTGTCTTACAAGTTAACTAGGTAACTACAAGTATTGCTACCGGTTGATTATTTGATTCAGGATGGAGGTTGTTATGCCTGATTAAGCCCCTTTTGTTGAGCCATTTGCCTGGTTCTCATTTACTAATCAGAGGAGGCATTCACAGGAACAGGAACTAAGTGGAGTACCAGTATACAACGGGCTGTTGAGGACTCAACTGTGTTAAAAATAGGATGTTATGAAGGGCAGAAACTCTCTGTTGACTTATTGTCTTACACTTCCCCTTCTTCTCATCTCATTGGAGTTCTAAAGCATGATTATTAATGAATAGTCAGTGGCGGCATCATATTTTTTTTACTGGAGGGGCACTCGAGGTAGGATGACGCCCTATTGGCCAGCCTCCACTGGTTAAGTTATAGAAAATAATGAGTGGAGGAAAATATTAGGACTGGAAGTTGATTAAGAAATTCACAGTGAGCTTTTTCCATTTAATTTTTAAAATTTTTGCCCTACATTGTATATTTATATTCCAATAGGAAGCAGTTTATAAAACAATGTTATAATGATCGCATGAACCCACTGTTTTCCTCGGGTGGTTTTAGATCTGAATCCAGATGGTACAGCGGGAAGCCCACACTAAGGACAGTTTGTCCAGCTGATGGCCCCAATAGGAGCAAGGGCCCTTGGCCTTCTCTGCAAGGGGAGGGAATACAGTATATGACATCTTAAAAATGTCAGATGAAGCGCCGATAGAAATATTGAAAACCAACAGGCCGCCATTGTGTAGAAGCCCACTTAATATACCGGGCATAGCTCCAAATAAAAAAAGCCAGCCATTACCAAGGAACAAGATGTGGGTGGCTGAATGCAACTTCAGTTTCATGTACACTGTGACTGTATCACTTTCACTTCTTGTTGGTTGCAGTATTGCTTCGCTCAGCACACTGCTCCATTTCTTCTGAGCTTTGCGGCTCAGATGGATTCCACCCTCGGCAACTACAGAGAACATCAAAGAGTTAACACCACTTTTTCGTGCGGGGCTTGGAGCAAATGAGGCCGATCATGTCTTTTGAAAAAAAAATGCTAATAATAATAACGTTTTGCTAAAGACTCCCCAAAGCCCTTAGCGCTCAGCGGCTTGGCTCTATGTCGGGAGGTGGGGGGATGGCGGTGGTGGTCGCAATCAGCTGACTGAATCATAACAAGTAGATGTTATCATACTGCCAAAACATTTTGCTGTATGGCCACCTCATTAAACTTAACACGGTAGTTAAACTGAGTAATCTGTGGATGGCTGTTCTACATTGAGCCAACCGCAATAGTCAGCACAAAATATTCTCTTGCGGTGTTTGTCCTTAGAAAGTATAGGGTGTGGATGAGACTGAGCAGCAGAGGGGAATGTGCCCTTGACTCCACATAATATGGTGTGTGCTCTGGGGTCAGTGCTGGTGGTTGAATTAGTATTAAGAGCAAGTAATAGAAAAGAAAACCAATACGTCTGGAACCAGGCTAGATAAAATAATCATAAAATGACTGCAATGAAACCTGCAATGGCTTTATTGAGTCACACGCACATGCGTTACCTGTATTGCCTTTTAATATGTGTAACAAAAAGAAAATACTTTGAAACTCAGTTTACATCGGAAGGTTTCTAGGGACATTCTAAGTAGTATTGTCATAATAGCGACCAGATGGTTTCACCGCCAAATATTTCTTGGAAGACACAACATCACTTGAAATTGACCAATTAGTCGCAAGGTTCCATGCGGAAACTAAAACCTCTGTGTTGTTTAGGTTCACTGATTTGACTGGCCGCTGATAACGAGTGTCCGCCTCTGAGACAAGCCCAGCTAGCCCCAGCAGTCTGACTGCTGCTCTTTAAGCAGCAAATCCAAATAACTGCATCTCCAACAGTTCAGTGAACGGCTGTTTGGATGTGCGAAACTTGAAATCATCACTCTTTTACGGAAGTACGGAAAGCGGAAATGAGTGCTAGTGTTCATGGTTTTTTTTGTGGTTGTATAGAGTTTAAAATGTGCAGGGGGTTGAGAGCTATTTAACGGTTGTCTATCATGTTACATGCACAATAAGAGAGGAACATAGATGCTGTAACAGCACTTCCTCTAAATCTTAATATGTATAGTTTCAATTTAGCCAAACCTGAAACTGAAAAGTCTGTACGTTTGTATTGTACGTTTATTGTACAATTCATCCTTTTGCAAAGTATTGTGGAGCTAAATGTCTTTTTTTTCTTAAACAACATATTCAAGGGCTAATTTAATATTTCAAAAATAACTAGGATGATCCGCGTGGAATTTCATTCTTGGCAAGGAGAAGAAAAGCATACTTAATTTGAGTGTTAATGCCAAATAAACTCAAAGTACTGATTGATATGAAAGGGCGAGCTGGACGAGTCTTTTGAAGTGGACGTCCAGAGTAGTGAGGGTGAACAGTTTAAAAATCTAAAGGAGTCTGAAGTGTGAGCACTTGAAAAAAGCAGTTCAAGCATCACTTGAAATGTATGTGTTAAAGGTGACAAGTATTACTTAAGTACTAAAAGTGGTTGGCACCATTCACTTAGAGGTGCAGAAGTTTTTTAACGTTGATGTACTTTTGCCCTTCCTTTGGTAATTTATTTGTGCGGATCCCGTTGAAGTGCCAGCTGAAGTGTGAGTGCTGAAAGCAGTGGAGTTGAGGTAGGAAGTCCTGAAAGGACATGAACGCTAAGACAAGATTTGGATTTGATTTGTGAGTAAAATAAATGTTTTTGTCAAGGCAATTTTTTGAGTTATGTTGCACAGTCAAACTTGGGAACCACTCACATAGTATGAGTGTGATTGCATTATTCATCTTTGGCTTTCATCTTTAGAAGCATGCTGTTTCTGGTCTAGTTATGTCATAGACATACATTAATAACTTCATTGATCGACTGAGGTCTAACAGGACAGCTTTTACTTTTGTAATTTCCCTCTCTTGGGTGCAACCTTACATACAAACACCATTATCACCAATTGTTATGTGCTTCCTGAATCCTAAATGCTAAAACAAACTATTCTTTTGTGCCTGGGAGACGTTTGCATTCACTGTAATGTTTCAATTTTAATTTGAGCTTTAAGGCTGCAGTTCAAACACTTCTGCCTTGACCTTCGAATAAGATTAGATAATTTAATAATGAGCATGAAAATAAAAACCCTTAAGTTGGACCCTTCACATCACATATGTGATGTATGTCAAGTCTTTAACTTGAAGGTGCAGTGAGACAACTCGTTGCTACAAAAAAAATAGGTCCAGCCATTAAGGCAGCATGCAGTAGAGCCGTAATAGCGGGTTCAGCGCTCCCAGGGCGCGGCATTCGCAAAGGCCTCCGAGCATCAGTGGCATCCCCGGCGCTAATGTGCTCAGTGTTGGATCGACCATAGATGTTCGGCCAGCCGTTTCTAATGAGGTCGCTCGGTGAAGTCTGCAGTGATTATGCAGCAGTCCTCTAGTCAGGCCCGGGGGAATGGGTATTGACAGTCACATTGTGTTGTGAATGCAGGTTGACCCCCCAGGGGTCAGGCGAAGAGTTGCACTATGATGTCCCTGGTCAGCATGTGTTGCCTCTAAAGCGTTAGGCAAGGCATGTCCACGAGAGAAAATACAAATGACATTAAAGCTGCAAGAAGCGTTGGACAGGTCCTCGCTACTCCGCACGTTGGGGCACTGGCCGGACGGCTAGAAACGCAGCCAAGAACTCCTCATTGTTAACCAGAAGGAGCGACACAAGGAATGCAGCTTTGAAAACTTTAACATTATTAAAGTCTGAGGTATTTTCTGAAAACATTTGATGTACTATTCCAAAATGAAAGCCTCTCAAAATACCATAGATAGCGAATTTCTTTCAAAATCCTTCACGAGACTACTTCTGGTCAATTTTAGGTTAGAATTCAGAAATTTAGAAAGGGAACTATAAATAATTACACAGTAATTCCACTTAAGGCAGAGAGTACACATCCCCAAGGTGTCACTCAGCGATGACCAGCACATTCTGATGTACCATTTTAGAAATTAAAGCCTCTCGAAATGCAACCTTCGTTTTTTACTGGATACTAGAAAATTTGACTTCCTGTTACCAGTAGATAGCGCTATGACTTGATTCAACTTGACATGTCTTCAGGCCCAAAGTCTCATCAAACATGTGTAAATTGGAAAGAATCCGATGATGTGGAGTAGAGTTACAACGTTTTAGTTGTTCTTGCCGAAGGATCAACTTTGCCGATTATCGGATTCTTATCATTTTCACAGTGAAGCATCATTAAGGTTTTGATAGGGATCAGATTAACCCTTGAGGAGCATAACCTATAAGGAACAGGTTGTAAAAAAAATACATTCATCTTCCTGT